TATTACATGTATATGTTGAATGTAGGCTTGATAATTGTGCTTTCCTATAATGAATTATAGTGTGAAGGTGCAATGGCTCTAAGAGTGAAAAAGAGGAGGATAGGTAATGAAGAAATCATGATTGGTGTCACTATTGTTAAATTTATAGTTTGGTTAAATTTACAGTCATCAAAATATATGGTGAACTTTTTATAATATAGAATTTGTTCTCTTAACAAATATTAAAAAACCATATATGTCCTTCATTCCATATATATATATGAAAGCGATTTTTAGCATATAGCATAATATTGATTACAAATTACGTGCAAAGAGGGATCGCTAACAACAAGAATAGAATTAAAATCTTTCAAGTGAAATACGTTGATTGTTAATATCCCACTAAATTAGCTCTTTATAAGGTTTCTTTTCTAAGACTCCCATAAAGTGTCCTATCATTCTTTATATGTGGTTGTGGACGTTTGATTGCGAATTTGCGAGCACTAGCCGCATAGTGTTCTTTTCCATAAATTTGAATCTTATCACAATATCCATGGTACAATTTTTCATGTTTTTCTTTCTTATATTGAAGTGTAACTTAACTTCTTAAGTAAGATTTCACACATAAAATAATAAAATATAGGTCTTTCCACAACTTTTTCAATGTGGTGTTTCTTATATTATTATTGACTAATAATTTTCTCTGAGTTACGAAATTATTTTAAAATTTAAGTAAAATTCCAAATATAAAATCATATGATACAAATACTAATAACTTTCATTTATCTAAATATATATATTGAATTATTAAATAATGATAAAATCATATATTTAAAGAAGTGTAATAGCGTACGTCTTTATTAAAAATAATGATCTATTTTATAACATAAAGTTTAAAAAATAGCACTTTTAATTTAAGGGAAAATTTTGTGAAAATAAGTTATTTAAATCAAGATTATCATGAATGTCTTTTAAATTGAATAAGTGTTTCCAAATTTATAATCGAAACAATCTAAAATTTAATTAAATTAATTACCTAAATTTAAATAATAGCATTTGAAAACATAAAATGCAAAATACTTAATGTATGACTCACATGACTTATTGCTAATGAGAATAAGAATGCATTTGATGAATAAATAATTTATTAAATATTTATTCAATAAGATCTCATCAAGAAAAATAATACTCAAAATTTAAATTGTAAAACTTGTTTAAATAAATTTTTAAAAAAATTGCTTACAAATATTACTTTCCACACACTTAAATAAGTTCTTTAAATTAAAAACCCATCTAAATATAGTGGGCAGATTTTTTATGTGACAGGGAGAGTCACGACTCTCCCAAACTTTTTAAAAGAAAAAAAATCTATATATATATATACTATAATTATTTTATTAAATGATTAGTGAATGATATTTTTTTTTTGAATTTTATTATCATATATATTTATATATAAAAAAATTAAATTGTACACTCCCAAAATTTTTATTTTTTATTGAAGTTCCGCTGCTGTCTCCACACATTTAGGAGTGACCACTTAATCCACTAAAAAAAGGAGTGAACACTTACATTAAAAAAGAAATGATTATTATATTTTGTTTTACTAAAATAGTTGACGATATGGTAGAGGTACCCCGTAATTTTCAGAGTAAGAGAGATTCTCATGTGACCACGGAAATGCAACAAGCAAAAATAAGCACTCTTGTTCACACCAAAAAACCAGTACGCTTACATTTCTATGATAGCGACACCCTAAAAAATTATTGGTCCAAAATCTAACATGTCTGTATCAATGGGTGAGCAGCATTCCCATACCGACCCGTAACCGAAAGAACCGACAAAAAAAAAAAAGAGTGGGTTTAAACGGATTTTTGGTTTAAACGGGTTAAAAAAATGAGTTAAAATGGATAATTTTGGTCGGGCTCGGTTTGAGTTTTTTAACCCATAAAAAACTAAACCCGACCGTGCAAACAAAAAAGCCCAACGAAAGTTTCGAGCCCAAAATAATAATGAATTGAGACCCCACCTCAAACTTAGTAACTTATATATTAACCTAGCGCCGCACCTTAATTCATTTGTTCTGAAACCCTAGCGCCGCACCGCTTCCCTTCCATCTCGAGAGCTCGAGAGTTTCGCTCTACTTCGTTTCACAGAATCGTTATCCTTCAATGGCTCAGTGAGTCCATGCGATTTTAGATTGCTTCACCGATAAGATGTAGCAAGTCATGACCTCGTCTTAGTATCTCACTAAAAAACGAAAAGGTATTTTTTGTTGAGCAAGAACATGTTTGATTGTTTGTTTCTAACTTTGTATCTTTAAATAATTGCACTTTTGATGTTGAATCGTGTTTCTGGTTTATTTATTTTGAATGTTATTAGGTCGGGTTTTGGTGGTTGAAATCTATTGCACATGAGAGTAGAGTCATACCTTTTGAGAATAACACTACATTACGGTAAGTCGGTAATAGTTGAGTTAGCGAGAATCATGAAACATGATTAGAACCTTTTGAGCTTTTTTTAATTTTTGGTTTTTGATAATGAGTTTTGAAGCTAACCATATGTTCTTTGTCTTTCCTGCATAGCCACAAAGGATAAGGAAGGGCTAATCTAGTGAAATAATCTCATAAACGAGCTATTAAAAAGTTAAGAAGAAAAGGTAATTATTTTTAGCATTTCATAAATTTAACTTTTAAGAATATTTAATTATATTAGCATTTTTTTTATATAGTGATTTTATATTTTGTGATCTAGCCTGTAGTGCAGTTATACTTGTTAACTATTTTGTGATTTAACTTATAGCATAATGTTTCCTTATTTCGCATGCTTAATTGTTATTTCATTTGATAGGACTATGATCCTTTGTTCTGCATGTTCTACTATTATTTCAGTTCTACTTATGTGTAGATGTTATTTTTTTTATATGCTTCTCATGGAGTCATTTTCATAAATTAATTTGATAAAAGTCATACAATTTTAACACTAAATAAAGAATTCACTATAACAATTTAATAATAAAAAAATTGTAGTTGGAAGTTATTGACCAAGACTTCTTCATTAAATTAGTGATGGAGCAGTCTTGTCAAAACTTGCCAGCTACGACTGATAATCTAATTCAAGCTACTGCTGAAACTAATAATCCCCCTCAAGCTCATATTGCAGCTCCAACAGAAGTTGCAGGACTTAACTCAAGTCATCCTCTTCCATCAAAATCTAAGAAGAGGAAACCCAATGCTAATGGCCCACGCAAGACATCAATTGTGTGGGAACACTTTATAGTATTGCCTGAAACTGAAGTTAAAGAACCCACAACAACTTGTAAATACTGTAACCACAAGTATTTATGTGATCCCAAAATATATGGCACATCTAATATGCTCCACCATCTTACAAAATGTAAAAAATATTTTGGGTCTCTTTGTCACGATCCTAGTCAAACAGTGCTTACCTTTGGCCTTGGAAAGATTTGGTCTTGGAAAGAATGGGGAAAAATCTAATTTAGTACCAGCTAGCCATAGGTTCAATGTTGAGGCTTGTAGGAAAGCTTTAGCTACCTTTGTCATTGTAGATGAACAACCATTTAAGGTAGTTGAAGGAGAAGGTTTTAAATATCTGTGCAAACAATTACAACCCCAATTTACTGTTGTTTCAAGGCATACAGTGGCTCGAGATTGCTTTCAACTATATTTAGATGAAAAATTAAGGTTGAAGGCATTCTTTAAGTCTAATTGTAGTAGGGTTGCTTTGACTAGTGATTGTTGGACCTCTATTCAAAATCTAAATTATTTAGCCCTCACTGCCCATTTTATAGACAATGAGTGGAAATACCAAAAGAGAATCATAAGTTTCTCTTTAGTGGCAAACCATAAAGGGGAGACCATAGGAAAACAGATTGAGGAGGCCTTGAAGGAATGGGGTCTAAGAAATATATGCACAATCACACTTGATAATGCAACTGCAAATGATGTGGCTGTTTCTTACTTGAAGAAAAGGTTTAAAAACATGGGTGGGTTAGTTCTTGATGGAGAGTTTTTCCACATGGGATGTTGTGCTCACATTTTGAACTTAGTAGTAAATGATGGTTTAAGAGAGTTGACAGATTCAATTTCTTGCATCCGCAATGTAGTAAGGTTTGTGAGGTCTTCGCCTCAAAGGCAAGCCAAGTTTAAAGAATGCAATGATTTTGCTGGTATTTCATCTCGTAATCTAGTTTGCCTTGATGTTCCGACGAGATGGAATTCTACTTACATCATGTTAGAAGCAACAGAAAAATTTCAGCTTGCCTTTGAAAAGCTTGAGTTTGAGGACTCAAGTTATTTGGACTATTTTGGACTTGCTGGACCTCCTACTGCTAAACATTAGGATAAAGCAAGAGATTTTGTTAAATTTCTTAAAATATTTTATGAGGCCACCAAAATATTTTCATCATCTTTACATGTGACCATCCACATAGCATTCCATCAATTAGCAACAATATCTTGTGAGATTGAAAAGGCTTGTATAGAGTAATTCTGATTTTCAGACTAGAGGTTGGGAAATGAGAAGAAAATATGACAAGTATTGGGGCAATGCATTGAATACTAATCAATTGTTGTATTTTGGTGTCATCTTGGACCCTCGATATAAGTTTAAGTATGTGGAACGGTCCTTTAATGACATGTATAAGTATGACCATCAGTTTGCAAATAACCTCTCTACTTCTGTCAAACAAAATCTAACAAGGATGTATAATTGGTATGTTGCTGCCCATGAGCAACATCATAAACAAACACAGTCAGGTGCTGAACAATTTGGTAATTGTTCAACTGGAGGAATAACAAATCCTATTGAAATTCCTTGTCATATGGCTAGGAAATATGCCTTTAAGGCACATTTGAAAGAAAAAAGTTATCTTGATCAAAAAAATGAGCTTGAGACTTATTTGGCTGAGGCAAATGTTGATGCTGATGATAATTTTGAGTTACTTTTATGGTGGAAACAAAATTCATCTCGTCTCCCAATATTGTCAAATATGGCCAAAGATGTTTTTGCCACCCCTGTGTTAACAGTGGCATCTGAAAGCGTATTCAGCACTGGTGGAAGAGTGTTAGATACCTTTAGAAGCTCCCTCAACCCAGAAATGGCTGAGGCATTAATCTGCTACCAAAATTGGTTGAGACCTTGTTTGTTGCAATTTAAAGAGGTTAATCCAGTTGAAGAATTAGAAAGCTCTGAAAATATTGTAATAGGTAACATTTATTCTTTTCCCACTATCATTTATAATATTTTTATTTTATTATTTTTTAATTTTTAGTTTTTTGTTGTCATGTTCCTAAGAATTTCAAAAGGGAACTACTAGATCTCAAGGAGCTGGAGTTGTAGTATCAAGGGTTAGGATTGAAGATGGTGGAGTTGGATCATCATCTCAATCACATCCAGTGATTACTAGCTGAAAGTATATTCATTTATTTATTTTGTTATTTTCTTGCTTTTTTATTTTAGTTAAATATTTACTTATGTACTTGTTTGTTATTTTGTTTTTCTATATAGGTCCCTTGGCGTTATTTTTTGCTTATTTTGGTCTACATCCACTAAAGATATATGGAGTCATTATTGTTTTTTTGGTATAACAGTACTACTCAATTACATTTTTTGGTAAGAAATTTTTTATTCTTTCATTTTCAAGATATGTACCATATTATATAATGACGACTTAATGTGTTAGCAAATAATTGGCAAAGAATCATCATTTAGGTGGTATCATTGCACTTCTCAGAATGCATAATAGATCCTTCTAAATTGCTTATCTCAATTTGGTTAGTTTTCAAAAGTATTTCCTTACTAATTTATCACATTACTATATTTTTGTCTATTTATTAAATTTTTTTATTGATTTTTTTCTTGACCATTACCCTTTTTACTTGTAGGAAACATGTCTTACCAATTTGCATGAATTACAACATTCTTGGATCTTATTAAGCTTTGTGCTTTCCTTGTCCCATTGGTTTACTATTCTGTTTGTACTCTCTTTTATTTTATAATATATATATATATATATATATATATATATATATATATACCACAAGTTATTTATACAATTGTTCAGTTTACTATTCTGCTTGTACTCTCTTTTATTTTATAATATATATATATATATATATATATATACTACAAGTTATTTATACAATTGTTCACATAACAATTGAATTATAGCTTCCTAATAATTTATCTCTATATACAATATAATTACTGTATAATTGTTCATTTTTGTGCATATATGTATAAGTGAATTGGTGTTCATTTTTTTGCAGATATGTGTAGATGAATTCATATTTATCTTTCAATGAATGGTAGTCTTAAAAGGTTGTATTTCTACCAACATCTTTCCTGTAAGTGCCCATATTCTACCATAACCTAATTCATTTCTTCAATCTTTTAAAATTGTGACTAATTTACTTCAATTTTTCCATTTTAACTTAAACAATGTTACTATAATAGGTTTTCAGAGACACCAAGCTTGCTCTACAAAGTACAAAGGATGTCTTGAACAGCTTTTTCGCCCAAATAAATAAAAAAAAAACTAAAAATACACGAAATAAATTTAAAAAAAAAAAACTAATTACTGGAATGGGTGATTTTGGATACATAAGCAGACACATGGCATAGAAAACGCAGGAGGCTAGGGCGAGTTTCAGATGACACCCTACCCCCAGGCGCATTTATTGGACGATGTGGCATGGAAACATAAAGCGTAGAGGGGTGAGGCATTTTGCAAATGGCGCCTCCCCCCAAGCGCCTTCTACAAACACTGAACCAACCTGCTGCGTTTAAAGAACCATCAATTCAGAACTTGTGTTTTACTATTGTATACAGATTTTCTCAAGAGAAACATTTCATCCAAATAAACATGGCACAAGGAAAAGGCAAAAGTTGAGCGTGCTACATTTTTTTGGTTTATATGGATTCTTTTTTCTCCACCTAATTTTCCTGATCCATTTTTTCTCTCATTAAAGACCCATTCAATAAAAACTATTGAATGAACCAACCATTATAAAACCGTAGTCAATTCAAATAGCAAATAATAACAAAATTAATGTGACATGTTTACTACATATGCATTTAGTTGAGATTTTTTTTTGCAAGAGCATAAAATGGGGAATTTTGTCCATAGCATATTGAGTGGTAGTAGTTGGGGGTGTTTAAAAAACGGTTTGGTTTAAATTTGGTGTAAATGTTGTTATTTATCGCACTGGACGTAACCCCCAGTTATGACATAAGATTAATTTATCTTAGTGTCAATCACTTAATAGGCAATAATATGAAGCATTCATCTAAAATAGATCCTTTTTTTTTTCAATTTCATCATGAATGAGTAATCTAAATCTTCTTCCATAAACCTTGCTTTTATGGTTAAATTGTTAAACTTAAAAATGACTTAATCTCATTTGTAATTATAACTATTTGTTTTTAATATTCATAATTTCTTAATTGTTAAAATTAAATAACTTACAACAAAAATGTGATGTGACATTAATTTTTATATATATTACTGTATTTTTTTTTCCTTAAAAACATGTATTTTTGTTGGAGATAATTTTGTTTAAGATTTTTTTTTTTAATATATATCTTATGTCCAATACCGTTAAACTTAATATGTATATAATTAAATTGTAGATAATCCTTTTAATAAATTTATGATAATTTTGATATTATTTTAGAATTTAAGTTTCGTCTTAATTTAACTTTATTTAATTGACTTGTAAAGTCTCGCCCTCTGAAACTTGTCCTAACCCCTTGCATTTTATTGAACAATTATTGATGGGTCTTTAATGAGAGAAAAAACGGATCAGGAAAATCAGGCAGAGAAAAAAGAATCCATATAAACCAAAAAAATGCAACACGCTCAACTTTTTCCTTTTCCTTGTGCCATGTTTATTTGGATGAAATGTTTTTTTTTAGAAAATCTATATACAATAGTAAAACACAAGTTCTGAATTGATGGTTCTTTAAATGCAGCAGGTTGGTTCAGTGTTTGTAGAAGGTGCCTGGGGGGAGGCGCCATTTGCAAAACGCCTCACCCTCAACCCCTTTTTTATGCCACGTGTCTACTTATGTGTCCAAAATCACCTATTCCGGTAATTAGTTTTTTTTCAATTTATTTCTTGTATTTTTAATTTTTTATTTATTTGTTTGGGCGAAAAATCCATCTTGAACATTGTTGTGCATGATTTGGGATTGCTAGCATTTTTCTTCCTATTGCTATGTTAAGCCAAATATAGATATTATGTATTTTGTTTTTGAGGGATCTATTGTGTGTCTTATTTTCCTTCAAAAACTATTGTTTTTTGGCCTATTAATATATTCAATTGGGCATTCAAAAAAATGTCTTTTAGCCCAATAATCTATTCAATTGGGCATGTAGTTGAGTAATTGATACTTGACAATTGTAGTGGATGCATGATATGAATGTAATGATGACTTTATTAGTTATTTTTATGTTATTTATTTTAGTATTTTAAAAATAATTATAATATGTTTGAAGTTTCAATTAGTAGATGTTGGGCATCTTTAATTTTTTTTGATGATATGCAAAAAACTTTATTTAAACCAATTAAATAGTTTAAAGTCTATCACACTCTTACCCGTAAAAAACCACCCGTCCAAACCAAAACCCGCTCAAATTAAAATTTATCTAAACCGATAAACCATGCGGTCGGGTTTGGGTTTAAATAATGTAACTTGTAGGTTATATCGGTTTAGATTATATTAGACCAAAACCGACCGTATCCGACCGATGATCACCCCTAATCAATACTTTCATCGATGCAACTAAATGCTTTAAATATCACTTATTCTAAATTATATATATATATATATATCTGTAGATAAAAGGTTAAACTATATTTTTAGTACTTTATTTTATTTTTATATTTATTTTGATCTTTTATCTTTTAAAATATTTATTTTGGTTCTTTATCTTCTAAATTTAAGTAAATTTAGTCATTTTAAATTTTTTTTAACTAATTTAAGACTTAAAATTTGTCTCATAAAATTCACTTATATGAAAATTATTGAGAGTAATTGAAGTTCAAACCAAAAGTGCTATAAACATAGTCAAAATTAAAAATTTTAATAAAATTAATTTTATATTATTTTTTAATTATTCACGAAATATATTTTTCACGCGGTTTTCTCTATGTTTATGATCCTTTTGAATTTGAACGTCAATTGTATTTCATAATTTTCATCATGATGAATTTAATGTTACAAGTTTTATATTATATCCTAAATCAATAAAAAAAATTAATTCAAAATCATGTCACAAAATTCAAAATGATTAGTGTTTTAAAGGACTAAATTAATTCAAATATAAAAGATAAAAGAATAAAATGAACACTTCAACAAATAAAAGACCGAAGTGAATATAAAAAATAAAATAAAAATTTGAAAGTACAATTTAGAAAAAAAATAAAATAAAAGGAAGTAGTTATTAATTTTATTGAGATAATTTTTTTTAATATATTTTTTCTTATTTAATCCTTCAACAATATATTGGTGGGAAAATTATAATATATAGAAAGGGGTATAATTATCTTAATTTGACACCAAAGATATACTTTGTACCTTTTTTCATTTTATGTAAAAAAATAAAATATAATAAAAAATAATTGATGTTAAATATGTGTTGTAATGTAGTTAGTAGACTAGAACAGGGTGTTCCCAGATTGGAACAGGCCGTTCCAAACTACTAATACAATGGTGATTTAGTAGTCCAGAACGGGTCGTTCCCAAACTGGAATGGGCTGTTCCAAACTACTAAATAAGCCTAGGAATCTTGGACTGGAATGGGCCGTTTCAAAATGGTCATTGTGAGTTAAATTCCACTCGAGAACGGGTCGTTCTAGACGTGCCTGAGCGGGCCGATCTAATTTCAGAATGGGCAATTCTGCATGTGAATTTTACACATGATGAAGGAGCCCAGAACGGGCTGTTTTGGATTAGAAACGGGTCGTTATGGCCACTTCAGACTTCTATAAATAGAGGTTGTGCAGTTGAGGAGAAGAAGAGGTTTTTAAAGAGAAGTTTTAGAGAGAAGAACTCTAGATTAGGAAGCTTTCTTTGGGTGGATTGAAGCCCCGGGTTGAGCTTCGGAAAGGAAATTCTACTTCTTCTCAGTTCTTGGCTATTCTGAGCCAATCTTCAGGTAAGGGAAGCTAGATTATATGTTGTTTGGTTGTATGTGAGTTTAGGATTTCATATGGAGTTGTATAATTATATTGAGGTGTATGATGTGTAGAAAGTGAAATGAAGAGATGCATGTTGAGTATAGTGTTGTAAACTAAATGAGTAGTTGTGCCAAATAGAAAATGCGTTGAATACATGGTATGTTGCTAAAGTTGCTATATTTATGTGTGTATTATTTATATGTTGTAAAATATGATGAAATGATAATATTGTGAGTTGTGAGAAGCATGATGTGAAATGTGTAGACGTGTTGAGATTTATACAAAATTTATTAGTAGACCATGTTGTTAAGTTGTTAGAGAAGAGTTGTATGTTGCTATAAAGTTGTATGTTGTGCCATGTGTTGAAAATATATTATTTTATGATGATTGAGTTGTAAATTATGAGTTGAGCTAATAAGCTGTTGAGTTGATTGTGTTGTTTAAAGTTGAAATGAGATGTTGTGTTGTTAAAATGTGTTGTTAAACAACGTTGATGAGTTGTTGTGCTGATATACCATGTTGTTTAAGTTGAAAGTTGGTTGAGATGATGAGTTGAAAGTTGTGTGTTGTTTAAGTTAAAAGTTGATTGAGATGATGAGTTGAAAGTTTTGTATTGTTTAAGTTGTTAAGCTGAGCTGTGCTTTTCAGTTCTAAGCTGATTCATTTGTGATGATAAGTTGTTGGTCACTAAGACTAGAGGAGATGTTTTCGAAGTTGCTCATCCGATTGTGCGGATTGAGATAATTGTGGTGCTCTGAGAGCCCAATATGTTAAAAACCCTCCTTGGGAAGTTGTCCCTTGGAGTGGACGTTGTGTTGTTCTCCTCTAGGACTTAGTTGGTCCCGTGTGTGGGCAAGGTCGAGGCACACGTGTACAAAGCGACCACGGTATAGGGGCAAGGTGAAGCTATATCGATTACAAAGTGACCACGATATAGGGGCAAGGTCGAGCTATACCGATTACAAAGCGACCACAGTATAGGGACAAGGTCGACATATACCGATTACAAAGCGACCAATTTAAGTATAGTACAAAGTCGGGAACTTAGTTCCTAACTGAGTACTATACTTCCTTGTTTAAGAGGCAAAGTCTGAGAAATCTTTATCGTGTTATGGATTTCTATCCAAATTTGTTGTTTACCTAGCAAGCCCAAAAAGGTTCTATGTTTTCGATTCGGTAGGACCTAGCCACTTAGACTACCTACCACGTTGTAGGAGATCTCTGAGTTGAAATGCGTGATGACGCATAAGTTGTTGATGAGTTGATTTGTTGTTTATAAGAGTTGTA